TGTATATGTGTATATATATATGTGTATATATATATATATATATATATATATATATATATATATATATATATATATATATATATATATATATATATATATATATAAGTGGCAAAGCAGATTGGAGAGGAAGCGGTTGCAGATGGAAAGGAGAGACAATAGAACAGAAAAAACAACAGAAAAGAAAGACGAGAGCAGAAAGAGAAAAGAGAACGAAGGAGGAAGAAATCAAAGCAAAGGATACCGCTGGGACAGTTTTAGGACTCGGGATCAAAGTTTACCGGAGTGTGTCCTGAAAGATGTCCAACGAAAAGGCGCCGAAACTTAGATATTTATTGAAACGAAAAAGAAAACAACACTGAAAGAAAAAAATAGAAAAAAAAAAAAATTAAATAAAAAAAACACTTGGGCAAAGACCCCCATACATCCAGAACTACTCCATAGTCGAATTGAAACTTAATATTTTTCCTCCTTAAAGCCGAGAGAGGACAAGATTTTCCTCAAGAGACATGGCAAGAGGAGGATGCATAGGATTTGTAGGATCAGCCCGGGGGGGGGGGGGGGGAGAGCAATAAGGGGTTCGAGGAGATGTCAGTAAGGACGAGAATAGAAGTTCGAGGAAGCGAAGGAACGTGAAAGGAAAGGGAGGGGAGAGGAGAAAGACGAAATAGAATAAGCAAAATAAAAGAAGGGGAGAAGAAACGTTAGAGGGGGGGGGGGGTAGAGGAAGAGACGAAACTGGGGAGGTCGTTTGAGGTGGGAAGGAAGGGGAAGAGGAAGAGGAAGAGAAGAGAAATAAGGTGATAAAGGTAGTTGGATAAGAGAAAATACGTAGATAACATAAAAGGGACGTCAACATTGATTAAGAAAGATGGAGGAAAGTAATAGAAAATCAATAGATAAACAGATAGAGGGAGAGATAGACAGACAGATAAACAGATAGAGGGAGAGATAGACAGACAGATAAACAGATAGAGGGAGAGATAGACAGACAGATAAACATATAGTTAAACAGATAGACAGACTGATAGATAGATAGATAGATATGGATGTACGTAGATATCTTTACGTTGGTTTATATGTGTATAGAATGGGGAAAATTAAAGGAAAGAAGGAAAGATAATAAAAGAGACAGAGATAGAAAGACAGAGAAGGAAAAAAAAACATGGAGAAAGATAAAAACCGATAAAAAGAGAAAGCGAAAAAGAAAGAAAGAATAAAAATTAGCTCAGAAATAATATTCGCGACAAAGTGACAGCACCTGGTGAGGATAGAGAGAAAGAACGCTAAATATTAACGATAACGCGAAATCCCCTTCACTCCCCCTCCCCCTCCCCCTCCTCTCCCCCTCTACCCCCACCACCTCCTTCCTTCCCCTGCCATCTCCCCTTCCACCCCCCTCCCCTCCTCTTATGATAACGTTATAGTGTCCACAGAGATCAGGTAAAGAGGGGGGGAAGGGGGGAGGGGGGGAGATTAAGAGGGAGGTTAATGAAGGAGGGGAGGAGGGGAGGGAGGGAAGGAAGAGGAGGGGAAGGAGGGAAGGAGGGGAGAGGATGGGTAGATACACTGATGGAGAGAGAGAGAGAGAGAAAGAGAGAGAGAGAGAGAGAGAGAGAGAGAGAGAGAGAGAGAGAGGAGAGAGAAGAGAGGGGGAGGGGGAGAGAGAGAGAGAGAGAGAAACAGAAAGAACGAAAGAAAGAAATAAAGAGACAGTTAAAAGAGAAAAAAACAAAACAAAAACAAACAGACGAAAGAATAAACACAGACGAAAAGAAAACCAAAGAGGAAGAAAGACATATAGAGAGCATATGGAGGGAGGGAGGGGGGAGGGGGGAGGGGGGAGGGCAATCGGAAGAGCATAAGGGACGGGGGGGGGTAAAGGGGGGGGAGTCGCATTATTATTGATACCAGGAATCTGTGGCGTAAACAATGCATGTTTTCATTAATTAAAAAGAAGGAAAAAAATGTTGGGAAAGGGGGAGGGGGGGGCGATTATTTGTTATTATTTTGTAAATAGTTTATTTTTGAAAGAGAGAGAGAGAGAGAGCGTGAGAGAGAGAGAGAGAGAGAGAGAGAGAGAGAGAGAGAGAGAGAGAGAGAGAGAGAGAGAGAGAGAGAGAGAGCGTGAGAGATAGATGGAGCGAGAGGGAGAGAGAGAGAAAGAGAGACTGACTAACAGACAGGCTGTGAAAGAGAGAGAGTGTGAAAGAGATAGATAGATAGATAGAGAGAGAGAGAGAGAGAGAGAGAGAGAGAGAGAGAGAGAGGAAAGAGAGAGAGAGAGAGAGAGAGAGAGAGAGAGAGAGAGAGAGAGAGAGAAGGAGAGAGAGAGAGAGAGAGAGAATGAAAGAGAGAATGAGAAAGAGAGAGAGAGAGAGAATGAAAGAGAGAATGAGAAAGAGAGAGAGAGAGAGCAATGAAAGAGAGATTAAGAAGAAAAATAAAGTGTGAAACAATTGTCATTAATCGCTGTTAATAATTAATGATATCCATCCAACAGGCCATTAACTTTATACCTGAATTAAGGAAGAAACGTGACTCTGATAAAGAAGGAGACAAGGAAATCCCAATAAAAATAAGAACTAAGACTTTATTTTGATATATTTCATTGAAAGAGAGTACGAAACGGGTGAAAATAGTGAATAAATGGATAAATACGGGAAAGATAAGAAAGAATATGAAAAGATAGGAAAAAAAGACAAAGAAGATTAAGACATAAGAAAATAAGAAAAGATAAGAAAATCATATGATTAAAAGAAAGTAAGAAAAAAAAGATACGAAACGATTTGAAAACAAAAACAGCAATAACAGGATAATAAGAACATAGAGGAGAAGAAACACGAAATAGAGAAAGAAAGAAAGAAAAAGAAAAACAGAGTAAAGAGAACGTAAATCAGAGAGAAAGAATAACGACAGAAAATAGAAAATGGAGAGAGTAAATTAAGTGAAAAAAGGCGTGAACGGATAATCAGAATAAAGGAGAGAAAATATTGCAATTAATGAGAAGAGGAAGAAAAAGTCTAATTGAGTAGAAACAACAACAACAAAAAGAAAACGGAATAAAAAGAAAGAAAAAACAATTCGTTTTCCCCATCACCTTCATCCTCCCTCACCCCCCCCCCTTCCCCTTCTATACCGAATCAACCCCTCCCTACACCCCCACTTTCCCCCTCTCCCCTTCCCCCTTCAATACCCCACCCCCCCTCCCCGCCCTCTCCTGCTTTTCACCCCCTCCCTCCCTCCCTCCCTCTCCCCTGACACCCCCTGCTTCCAACTCCCCCCCCCCCTCCTGTACACCCCCACTTCTCACCCCCTCCCACCTCCTCTCACCCCCAACCCCCCCTCCCTCTCACCCCCTCTTTTAACCTCCCCTCCCTCTCCCCCCCTCCCTCTCACCCCACTTTAACCTCCCCTCCTTCTCACCCCTCCCTCTAACACCCCCAACCCCTTCCCCCAACCCCCTCTCCCCTCCCTCTCACCTCGTCCCCCCCCCCTCCCCCCTACCCCCCCGCCACCATGATGTCTTCAATGATCGATCTTTTGGCGGAGAAGTTTTCCATCTTAGAAAAGGTAACTAGTTAAGTGGTTGTTCATTTAACACGATTTAACTCGATTTAACTTTTTTTTTTTTTAATTCGTAGCGTAGATTAATTCGTTCAGTTTGTTGTATTTGGTTAGATGTTAATTTATTTTCTTTGCTTGATTGATGGTGTTTAGGAATAAGGATGAAGTTATTATTATTATTTAATTTCGTTATTATGATATTTGTTACTATTGTCGTTAGTGTTATTATTATTTAAATTATCATTATTGTTATTATAATAATAATTATTATTATTGTTATTATTATGATTGCTATTATTATTGTTGTTATTATTATTGTTGTTATCTTTATTATTATTATTATTATTATTATTATTATTATAATTATTATTATAATTATTATTATTATTATTATTATTATTATTATTATTATTATTATCATTAGTATTGTTATTAAAAATATTGTTATTATTATTATTGCAATTATTATTATCATTATCGATATTATTATCATTATTATCATTATCATTATTACCATCATTAATATTATGCAAATGAAGTTATTACTGGCAAAATTAACTTGTTATTAAGTATCCTTCTGAGTTAACTTTCGGTTAATATGAAACCCTTATTAACTGATCAATTTACTAACTCATGTTAATCAAGCTGCATGATTATGAAAAGGAAAAGATTTATATTTTGATTAATTATTTATCTGTTTATTTATTTATTTATTTTTTTATATGTCATTTTCTTGACATCGGAAGTGATAGGAATATAGTCTATCATCAGTATTTTGGAGAGATAGATTATATATTTTTGTACAGAATTATTATGAATACCCATGTAATCTCTCTCTCTCTCTCTCTCTCTCTCTCTCTCTCTCTCTCTCTCTCTCTCTCTCTCTCTCTCTCTCTCTCTCTCTCTCTCTCTCTCTCTCTCTCTCTCTTCTCTCTCTCTCTCTTCTCTCTCTCTCTCCTCTCTCTCTCTCTCTCTCTCTCTCTCTCTCTCTCTTCTCTCTCTCTCTCTCTCTCTCTCTCTCTCTCTCTCTCTCTCTCTCTCATTCTCTCACCTTTCTCTCTCTTTTGTTTACTTTCTCTCTCTCCCTTTCTCTCTCCTTCTCCTGCTATCTCGTTTACGTCATCCATCATCATCCTATTCCTTTTCTTTTTTCTTTCTCTCTCTTTCTATATATTTTCCCCTCACATCCTCTCAGCCTTCGTCTTTGTTCACCCTTTTCTCTTTTCGTTATTACTTTTTCTCACTTCCACCTTTGTTTCTCACTTTCATTTTTCCTTTCCTGTCTTCTCGCTCTTCCTCTACCTTGCTTCACACTTTCTTCCCTTTTCTTCCTCTTTCCAAATTTTTGTCACTTTTTGCCTTCTGCTTCTCCCTGCGTTTATTGCACAAAGGTTTCGCAAAATGCAATTTGCAGAAAAGACCCAAAGTCAATGCTGCAATATTTGGTTTTATTTTCGAGAGAGAAGGGGGAGAAAGAGAGAGAGAGAGGGGGGGGGGTGGAGGGATGGAGAGAGAGAGAAGAAGAGAGAGAGAAGGAGAGAGAAAGAGAGAGAGAGAGAGAAGGAGAGAAAGAGAGAAATGGAGAGAGAGGGAGAGATGGAGAAAGAGGGAGAGAGAGAGAGAAATGGAGAGAGAGGGAGAGATGGAGAAAGAGGGAGAGAGAGAGAGAAATGGAGAGAGAGGGAGAGATGGACAGAGCGAGAGAGGGGGGGGGACAAAGGATCGATTGATGAATCATATA